CAGAACTATTACTCTTAAACCCGCGTTGAAGTGTTTAATATTTCAATACAACTCAAAATGCAATTTCGAGGCATTAGAAAGAAGGAGTCAAGTTGTTTGATGCTCGAAATGTAGACGTTTCGGTATTTATTATGACTTTGATCAAACAGTCTTGTTTGTGATATTTTCACTACATATAGACGTTTCGGTTCTTGTTACGACTTTGATCAAACAGTATTGTTTGTTGTATCTCCATCAGATGTAGACGTTTCGGTTCTTGTTACGACTTTGATCAAACAGTATTGTTTGTTGTATCTCCACCAGATATAGACGTTTCGGTTCTTGTTACGACTTTGATCAAACAGTATTGTTTGTTGTATCTCCACCAGATGTGGACGTTTTGGTACTTGTTACGACTTTGATCAAACAGTATTGTTTGTTATATTCTTGAGTTTTTTTTTCGGTCTTATAATATGAATAATTAGCTGGAGTACCCGTCCTCTGGACAGAAGTTACATAAATTCATGATGAATGAAAGGTTATCTTAAGACAAGAAAAGTTGCTTCCCTTATATATAATTGTCAAAAACTCAAAAAAAACTTGTATGTATCTCCACAGGGCATCAAAAAACCCTCATGCCAAATTTGGTGAAGATCCATCCACACCTTGCGAAGTAGTTACATGGAGATCAACAGATCTATATTATATTCATATAGATTAGTATTAATTTTCGCTTACACCAAGTTGTGTGTTTAAAGCGAAACTAAGAATCAACCTAGTAACAAGTATAGATAATCAACTATAGTTTTCTTACATTCTTACTCATAAAGATTAGCATGCATTGTTTCATCAGTTGGGTATCTATTGCTGTTAACGATAGTTTATAATCACTCTACACAGACCAACGTCTTCTTTACCTGAAACTATTTTGAACGATTCATTTCTTTCCAGAAATGAATCCTTTAAAACTAACATAGTACAAAGCAGTCACTGTCTACATAAAACACCTGTGTATTTTGTACCTTTCCTCGATCAGCACTATTCCTTGATTGTACCAGCCCGTAGAGTGGAAACAATTTCATTTCAAAACGGTTTCGCCAGCGAGTTGTCTTCTCCTCATAATCCGTATTGAGTATTGCAAGAAAAACAGATGAACAGGGAACTTTCTAAATTGAACGAAGAGTACACGTGAAAGTGTCAAACTTTTATCCATATAAATTTGGTATTGTTCCTTTATTGTATATTTAACTTTTACGTTAGGTTATTTTGCACGATATTGTGTGTTTATCTACTATCATTTATTACGTGTTTTCTTAATATATCTTGTTTCGTTATTTCGTTCCTTTGTTATTTACTGATTGGGTGACTAAAGTTTGTGGGGTTTGAGTGTTCAGTTTTTTTTTTTTTTAGTTTATAATTTACGTGATTTAATTAATATTACAATAGTTTCCAGTTCTTATTAAATACACAGTATCACTTGGTAAAAAATGTTTTTAAGTCCTGACTTCCAGATAAAAATATAAGATATCTATATATTCAGGTCTCTACTTGTCCAGAACTCTGTCTCTCTAGCTATTTCTTCGGATTTGCAGGTGTCTCGTTGATCTAGCGTTCTAGATAGCTAATGACCATATCGGCCTATCCATCAACTTCACAGAAACTTCCCCCGGAAATAATGAAACGTCAATTGGACAAATGCTGAGTAAATAGTGGACTAAGAGAATAGTTTACCGAATAAATCCCTAGCCATAATGACTATTACTTTTCCGAAGTAAAACCTCTTGATGTTTGTTTTCTTTCGCCATCTATATATACTTTTACAAAACCAAGAGAATAGGTTGATAAAAAATAACAATCTTTCCACAGTTATAACTTTGTCTTTAGGAGAGAAAAAGTTGTATCAGAAAAAAACACACATAAAGAACATAAAACGTTTAAACACGTGATACTTTTATTGTTTGTAATCTGATTACACTGAAATTACATTTTACATTTTTTTTAAGTTTTTTGTTTTTAGATGATATGACAAAATATTTATTTTCTGTTCTGACTCTCACTAGGTCTCTTTAATCTTCTGAAATACCATTATACATAGTGTATCTCATTTATATAACTTCAAATCTAGCTAAGAATTTTATTTTCTTATACTAGACTATGTATTACTTTCAAGTCTAAAATAACTCGATGTATTCTTGACACACTTGCTGTGCTGTAAAATTCTTTGACTTTCAGGTCTAAAATAACGCTATGTATTTCTGACACACTTGGCGTGCTGTAAAATTCTTTGACTTTCAGGTCTAAAATAATGCTATGTATTCCTGACACACTTGCTGTGCTGTAAAATTCTTTGACTTTCAGGTCTAAAATAACGCTATGTATTCCTGACACACTTGCTGTGCTGTAATATTCTTTGATTTTAAGTGTGTCAGGAATACATAGCGTTATTTTAGACCTGAATTTTACAGCACAGCGGAATACATAGCGTTATTTTAGACCTGAAAGTCAAAGTGACACACTTGCTGTGCTGTAATATTCTTTGACTTTCAGGTCCCTCTGCTTAGGGACGTGTGGGTGTTATAATGTAACGGTCAGTCTCACTATTCGCTTGTAAAGAGTAGTCTAAGAGTTGGCGGTGGGTGTTGTTCGAATTCCGTCCCTAAGCATACTCGTCGTTTCAGCCGTGTGGGTGTTATAATGTAACGGTCAGTCTCACTATTCGCTTGTAAAGAGTAGTCTAAGAGTTGGCGGTGGGTGTTGTTGACTAGCTGCCTTTCCATCTAGTCTAACACTTGAAAATTAGGGACGGGTGTATAGATGGCCCTCGAGTAGCTCTGCGAAAAATTTAAAAGAAACTAACTAAACATAACACTTTACCAAAACTAACTCTTGATATTTTACAATAACACATTATTAAAGCTAACGCTTGATATCCTACAGTAATACTTAGTATCCTATAGTAACACGTTACCAAAGCTAGCACATTATATCCTACTCACGTTACCAAAGCTAGCACTTGATACTCTACAGTAACACGTTACCAAAGCTAGCACTTGATACTCTACAGTAACACGTTACCAAAGCTAGCACTTGATAGTCTACAGTAAGACTTGGCATGGCCTGGTGGTTAGGGCACTTGACTCGCAACTTGAGAGTCGCGGGTTCGAATTCCGTCCCTAAGCATACTCGTCGTTTCAGCCGTGTGGGTGTTATAATGTAACGGTCAGTCTCACTATTCGCTTGTAAAGAGTAGTCTAAGAGTTGGCGGTGGGTGTTGTTGACTAGCTGCCTTTCCATCTAGTCTAACACTTGAAAATTAGGGACGGGTGTATAGATGGCCCTCGAGTAGCTCTGCGAAAAATTTAAAAGAAACTAACTAAAACAATGCTTATGCACCTTTTTTATATGAATTAAAGTTACCTTAATGTCTACACTTAGCAATATGTATACTTACAGCTACTGAAATAAAATATCACTTCAATTTCGATATCGTTCTATTCCATGTTACCATAACTACATTATATCCTACAGTAACATATTTCCGTATCTAACACTTGATATTCTCCAGTAACACTTTACCAAAACTAACTCTTGATATTTTACAATAACACATTATTAAAGCTAACGCTTGATATCCTACAGTAATACTTAATATCCTATAGTAACACGTTACCAAAGCTAGCACTTGATACTCTACAGTAACACGTTACCAAAGCTAGCACTTGATACTCTACAGTAACACGTTACCAAAGCTAGCACTTGATACTCTACAGTAACACGTTACCAAAGCTAGCACTTGATAGTCTACAGTAACACGTTACCAAAGCTAACACTTGATACTCTACAGTAACACGTTACCAAAGCTAGCACTTGATACTCTACAGTAACACGTTACCAAAGCTAACACTTGATACTCTACAGTAACACGTTACTGTGCCTATCACTTGATATTCCAACCTAACAGTTACCGTAGCTAACAATTCATATCCTACAGTAACTTATTGCCTCAGCTAAATTTTAATTCCCTACAACAACGTGCTACCCGAGTTCAAGCTGTATACATACTACCATAACATTTTACCTCACCGCATTTGAAATTGTACCAAAGCATGTTACTTCAAGTAACAGTTCACATCATACTAAGTATTACATTAACTAATACCTTACTTTCTACTGTAACACTTATAATAACTTTTATATTTTGATATTGTTTTGCAATATGTTACCTCGGTTATTATATAACTTACCATACCTTATTCCATCAGCCAACATTTGATATCATTTTATTGATGTTCTACATACTTTATTTCTTCAGCTAACAGTTGTAATGAAATTCTACCCATCATTACTGTTTCAGCTAACATTTAGTATCACATTATTGTACGTTACCACGACATACTACAATACCGTGTTGCTTCAGCCAACATTTGATATCACATTGTTGCATGTTTCCATGTTATTCTACATACTTTATTTCTTCAGCTAACATCACAGTTGTAATGAAATTCTACCCATCATTACTGTTTCAGCTAACATTTAGTATCACATTATTGTACGTTACCACGACATACTACAATACCTTATTTCTTCAGCCAACATTTGATATCACATTGTTGCATGTTTCCATGTTATTCTACACACTTTATTTTATCAGCTAACATCACAGTTGTAATGAAATTATACCCATCATTACTGTTTCAGCTAACATTTAGTATCACATTATTGGACGTTACCACGACATACTACAATACCGTATTGCTTCAGCTAATATTATAACACATTACCATGATATTCTACTAAACCTTATTGCTTCAGACAACGTTTAAAACATTGTAGCATGTTTCCCCAACTGGCTATTCTGCTATAACATCTAGTTTCACAAATATATTACTTGATTTAGCCAATTCTTAGTGGCCCAATGTAAGAAAATGTAGCTTATCGTTCCTACAACAATACTGATCTGTTTATAACCCCAATGGCTAGCTTATTTACATATAAGATGGTTTATCTTGTTTTATCTACAGGTCTGGTTCCAGAACAGAAGAGCTAAGTGGAAGAAGAGGAAGAAGACCACTAACGTCTTCAGAAACCCTGGGGTCCTCCTACCATCCCACAGTTTGCCTCCTCTAGGTTTTATGAGCGACGGGCTTTGCTCCTTCGGACCCGGCCCGGACACGCGCTGGTCCATGGCCGCAGGTATGACTCAGATGGGCTCTCCACCGCTGACGCTAGGTCCACCAAGCCTTTCTAGGCAATCTGGCCTCGGCCAGTCTTTATCCACCCCTTCCATGACCGGAATCAACCAGTCAGGAGTTCCGTTAAATCATGGTCCTTTGGCTGGATCGGTCACCACTACAGGATACCAGACTCATTACGGTCTTAATACGCTCAACTCACCGTCTGGGGTAGCAGCCCCCCACGGTCTCGGTCCAGTGACGGCTGGAATGGCCATGGCAGCAGCATCACCGCCTAATTCTAGTTCATCTACTCCACCTCAGCTGTCCGCTGCTTGCACCATGTCGATGCAAGGACTCGATCCGGGAGCTTGCAACGGCGAAATAGACGTGTGGAGAGAAACCAGTATCACCACGTTGAGACGGAAGGCCATAGAACACACAGCAACTATGTCGGTGTTTAGGTGAAATTCATAACTATACTGCGGTCTTGCTTCTTTCGTTTAAAGGAGGGAATTCTGAACTTTCATGGGCTTCTCATAGGTTAGACTTAGCCCACAAGAAAGATGTAGATTTTTACTTATTTAGAAGACATTTTTCAAGAACTCTATTAGATCATCATGAAACTCTGTAGTGTTTAACATATAACTTAGTGTGTACACCGTATATAGTTGTGTGTGTGTTGATTAATGTTTCGTTGTACTTAAGGCCACCAAATCATGCTTCTGTAGGCCTCCGTTACCACAAAATTTATTATGAAGCACATCTGTTATATTGTGTAGTAAAACATGTACATCAGTAGAAAAGTATATATACGGTAGAGTGAAGGTGAAAGCATTGGGTGATTTTCATTTTTATTTTGTAACTCTCATACAATCAGTTTATATATAGTTACAACCACATTCATAAAGACAATAAAATAGTTACGAACTGGTTAAAATAAATATATGTATATATTACAATAAAACATTTGGGCTGTTGACTGTAATTTAAGTAATTATATTTTAATTATTCAATTATAAATCGACATTCAAGGAAAATTTATTTAACTATGTTCAAACACACACAGAGAAGTATCTAATTCACGGTGAAACTAAAACCATTAACTTAACGAATGTCAAGTTTTTATTGCAAATTCTAATAACTGAATCAACATTTATATCAATACTATTAGATAAAACTAAAACTATTGTTTATTGGCTTAGAACTAAGCGCGTTTATACTTGTCGATAAACGATATCATAAGCACTATGTTATGTTGCTGATATCACCCCTAAAGGCGATAGAATATTTGACGTTACAAATATTTTAACCCTAAAATTTTTATAGCTTATGCGAACTTAACACAGACATTAGCACTTTCAAATCCGTCAATTTACACGCGGGATTTTATTCGTTCTTTAATAAGGTAGTAATAAGAGATATTAATAAAATGTACACATTTGTATCTGCAAGCTATGTATGAAGAACCGTTAAGTATTATCCGTGATTTTACAAACAAATTATCACAAGTCCGATGCCCTTACATAAGAAAATCTAAAAATATTTTTAGCGACTTTTCAGCTATAGGACTATGCCAGGTGATCAGGAATATTAATCCGATTTACATGTCTCTCGAATTGATTTAATTTTTTTTTAAATTAAGGTAGAGGTATTGAATTAATTCTAATTTGTCAACTCGTCATAACTCCAAAGAGAATATTGAGCCTTTTGTGGTATTAATTGAAAAATGTATAAGAACCTATCAAAATTAAACGAAACTTAGCCAACCTGATGGAAGATAATGAACATGAACATTTGTTAAACAAAACCAAACAACTTTCTCGTTGCCCTTCTTGATCACGAACCATTTTAAGACATTATATATACATATAAATAAAAATTCGTTATGTAACACCTGTACATTTCAAATTGATTTTTTAGTCTTATTGACCGATGGAATATAATCTACTGAATGCTTCGAAACACTACTACACAACAGAAACTACTTTTAAATCAATAGTTTAAAAATAGTTACGATATTGTTTTATTATAAACTCGATTTATTATCAGTCATTGGATTAATAAATAAAATTTGCTGGTTAACCTTACTTTAAGGTTATTAATTAATCTGACACTACATCAGGTTCATTCATGATGTGCTATTAAAACAACAATACACTTTTAATTAAACAAATATCTAGTGTTGTTTGATTGATTAATAATTATGTAGTGTCAGATTAATTAATAACCTTAAAGTAAGGTTAACCAGCAAATTTTCAGGTTCATCCATGATGTGCTATTACAACAACAATACACTTTTAATTAAACAAATATCTATGTTGTTTGATTGATTAATAATTATGTAGTGTCAGATTAATTAATAACCTTAAAGTAAGGTTAACCAGCAAATTTTTATTAAACTTCATCTATTATGTGTAATTACAACAATACACTTTTAACTAAACACAGCTACGTTGTTTGGTTGGTTAATAATTATGTAGTGTCAGATATTCCCATTACTTGTATGGTCAGTTTGTGTGTAACGTCAAACAAACACAATGTATAATACGTCGATACAATGTCATATTCTCCCACGAAACGTTTTTTTTTTTGACCAGTGAATTGTGTGGACTCAAGTCTTTTTTTAATTTATCATATATTTATGATTCAATCGTATGTTTTTTTTCTTCACTTTTGTGCTTAGTTCTTGAAAAGTTAAACAAAACGAGGGGGTTCTGTTTGGTTGAGTAAAATATCTATTGTTTATTGAACATGCCTATAAGTACATCTTAGGAGGTTTATTCACATAGAATGTTGTGTGTTGTGTTCACTTTTATCTTTTCTGTGACTTTTTTCAGTAAATTTCTATTAAATTGCAGTCAGGGAGAAAGTTTCGGTTTGATCGTGTGATTTTTTTTCCATTGTACAACCGTTGCTACACATATACGGAAAAACATTAAAACCGAAGAAAAAATATAGGTCCATAAAAAAACACCGGAACGCACCTGTTCCATCATATTGTTTGCTATTAATAAAGAATACGTTTCTGATTGTTTTCCGTTTTATGTTCTAGCTAAGATGATATCTTTTACATTACACGGTCCATAAGAAAACCCGGAACGCACCTATTTCATCATATTGTTTGCTATTAATAAAGAATACGTTTCTGATTGTTTTACGTTTTATGTTCTAGCTAAGATGATATCTTTTACATTACACGGTCCATACGAAAACCCGGAACGCACCTGTTTTATTATATTGTTTGCCATTAATAAAGAATACGTTTCTGATTGTTTTCCGTTTTATGTTCTAGCTAAAATGATATCTTTTACATTACACGGTCCATAAGAAAACCCGGAACGGGCCTGTTTTATTATATTGTTTGTCATTAATGAACAGTTTCTAATTCATACAATCAATTATTTATTTCTATATCCCATTTGTCTTGGTCCTTTTCGTTTATTGTTATATGAAGTTACCAGGCAGCGAACTGATATACTGAACCAATGAAATACCATACATATCTATTTTTTATTTCTATATCCCATTTGTCTTGGTCCTTTTCGTTTATTGTTATATGAAGTTACCAGGCAGCGAACTGATATACTGAACCAATGAAATACCAACATATCTATTTTTTACTTCTATATCCCATTTGTCTTGGTCCTTTTCGTTTATTGTTATATGAAGTTACCAGGCAGCGAACTGATATACTGAACCAATGAAATACCATACATATCTATTTTTTATTTCTATATCCCATTTGTCTTGGTCCTTTTCGTTTATTGTTATATGAAGTTACCAGGCAGCGAACTGATATACTGAACCAATGAAATACCACACATATCTATTTTTTATCGTATAGTCCTGATTTGTTAGTCTGTTGTCATGAATGTAGTTTAATGTAGTTGCATCTGTTAAAGACGTGATGACGTTTAAAGTATAGTTTTGCTGATATAAAAGGACCGAAACGGTGAAAACGGGTATCATATCCTCAATAGAGGAACAAGAAGAATCCTCTACAAACAGTGAAAACGGGTATCATATCCTCAATAGAGGAACAAGAAGAATCATCTACAAACGGTGAAAACGGGTATCATATCCTCAATAGAGGAACAAGAAGAATCATCTACAAACGGTGAAAACGGGTATCATATCCTCAATAGAGGAACAAGAAGAATCCTCTACAAACGGTGAAAACGGGTATCATATCCTCAACAGAGGTACAAAAAGAATCCTCTACAAACGGTGAAAACGGGTATCATATCCTCAACAGAGGAACAAGAAGAATCCTCTACAAACAAATATATCCATCTTTATACATCTCCAACGAAATGCAACTAGAAAGACAAACCTGTAGAAGAAACATCTCATTTGTTTTGACAATATTAGCAATGTTCGTAAGATATCAGCAGATTTTGGAAAAACACAAAAATTAAACAAAATGAAATATCAGTGATTAGGAGATTAATACCGATACTTATTAGTTTTTGTCAGCATAAATATATTAAGAATTCTAGATTGAAAAATGTTACTGTAATTATAGTACCCGAATAGAAATTTACCGAGAAACACGTACTAACCCGTGCCGCACGTGGCCTAATAGTTATTGTGAAGAGCTGCGGATCGTAAGGTCCGAGATGTGATCCCGCTGATCTTTCTCAACATTTTCAGCCGTGGGCACTTTATAAAGGTGACAACAAAATCCTCGTGACGGTGAGTGCTGTTGGCTGACTACTTCCCTTTGCATTTAGCCTCTCTCAAAAATATAATTCCTAAAAATAATTAGCTATGATAGTATAAAACTTACTACGATGTTTCTATAAAGCTGATTGATGGGCCTATTTTGGTTTAAAATTTAGTCATTTACAAAAAATATACAAATATAGTTTAAAAGATAACGACAGAGTAGACTGAAAACAAAAACGTTTGTAGGTTTATTATAAAACTGCTAAATAATATATCATTCTAAAATGTCTGAAATAGAAAGTTTTGTTACCGTTAAAAGGCTTTAACTTGAGTGGATACTTGTTTATATGAGCTATCAGTTTATATTTTTATCATTCTAAACTATAACACGGAGAACAAACAGATGTAGCTACAGCGTCATAAGATCATCAACACTAGTGATCAGAGCTGTTGACTTATATACGGAGGCTCTGTTGTTGTCTGATAAGTAACACCAATGATCAAAGCTGTTGACCTACACACTGAGGATTTGTTGTTGTCTGATAAGCAACCAATGACCAGAGCTGTTGACTTATATACGGAACAACAATTGTCGTCTGATCAGTAACACCAATGATCAAAGCTTTTGACCTACACAGTGAGGCTTTGTTGTTGTCTGATAAGCAACCAATGATTAGAGCTGTTGACTTATATACGGAAGCTTTGTTGTTGTCTGATTAGTAACACCAATAATCAAAGCTGTTGACCTACACACCGAGGCTTTGTTGTTATCTGATAAGCAACTAATGATCAGAGCTGTTGACTTATATACGGAGGCTCTGTTGTTGTCTGATAAGCAACACCAATGATCAGAGATGTTGGCTTATATACGGAGGCTCCGTTGTTGTTTAATAAGCAACACCAATGATCAGAGCTGATGATTATATACGGAGGCTCTGTTGTTGTCTGATCAGTAACACCTATAATCAAAGCTGTTGAATTATATACGGAGGCTCTGTTGTTGTCCGATCAGTAACACCTATAATCAAAGCTGTTGAATTATATACGGAGGCTCTGTTGTTATAGGTGTTACTGATCAGACAACAACAGAGCCTCCGTATATAATTCAACAGCTTTGATCATTGGTGTTACTGATCGGACAATCAAAGCTGTTGAATTATATGCGGAGGCTCTGTTGTTGTCTGACCAGTAACACCAATGATCAGAGCTGTTGGCTTATATACGGAGGCTCCGT